CTTGGCTCAGGTGGCAGGTGCTGCCGCGGATGTCTTTCTCACAAGGGGCTCTCCTTGGCTCAGGTGGCAGGCGCTGTCGCGGATTTCTTTCTCACAAAGGGCTCTCCTTGGCTCAGGTGGCAGGTGCTGCCGCGGATTTCTTTCTCACAAGGGACTCTCCTTGGCTCAGGTGGCAGGTGCTGCCGCGGATGTCTTTCTCACAAGGGGCTCTCCTTGGCTCAGGTGGCAGGCGCTGTCGCGGATTTCTTTCTCACAAAGGGCTCTCCTTGGCTCAGGTGGCAGGTGCTGCCGCGGATTTCTTTCTCACAAGGGGCTCTCCTTGGCTCAGGTGGCAGGTGCTGCCGCGGATTTCTTTCTCAAAAGGGGCTCTCCTTGGCTCAGGTGGCAGAAGCTGCCGCGGATTTCTTTCTCACAAGGGGCTCTCTCCTTGGCTCAGGTGGCAGGAGCTGCCGCGGATTTCTTTCTCACAAGGGCTCTCTCCTTGGCTCAGGTGCTGCCGCGGGTTTCTGGAACGGCCTTGCTGTTATCGGGGCAGTTCAGCTGTGCTTGCATTTTCCTGCACGGATTAGGGTTTGTGTACTGTGTGTTAGGTGTGTATGTGCTAGGTGTTTGGAGTGTTCAGTGTGTGTGCTGTGTGTATGTATATATACTCTCTGGGTTTTTTCGGTAAAGTCACGTAGGTAAAAAAGAAAATCTAATAAATGAAAACTAAATTAAATCACGACGTTTCGGGCGCAACACAAGCGTCCTTCTTCAGGTGGGGACAACGTAGCGAAAGCACAACCGCTTAAGTGTTTGATTTTTTTTACCTACGTGACTTTACCGGAAAAAAACAGAGTATGAATCCTTTCAGTCACGAAAGCTTCAAATCTAGAATGTGTGTGTGTATATTGTGTTGTGCGAGTGAGGTGTGTAGTGTGTATTGTGTGTGCGTGCGAGTTGTTTGGAGTGTTGAGTGTGTGTGTGTGTATATATTGTGTTGTGCGAGTGAGGTGTGTAGTGTGTGTTAAACGTATTTGGCGTGTGGAGTTTGTGTCTGTGTGTTCGGTGTTTGTTAGGACTGTGTCGTGTGGTTTTGGTCCGTGCCACAATGTGTTGTAGTACTCGAATTGACAATTTTGTGGGTTTACTCTCCAAAACACCGGTTTGCTGTACAAGTAACAAATTTGCCACGTTTTGTTTACGTGACAAGCCTTACTAATTAGCTGTGTCGGGTGGTGGCGGGTTTAACGACACATTTATATTTACACAATCTAACAAACAAACCTCTTATAGTGTGTGTTGTTGTACGGTGTGAGATATCGGTTATGGTTTTTGTCTTACACGTAGAGAATATAATAAAACACTGCAGCTTTATTGGCACCGATTTTACCACAGCCCTGTCAGCTGTATTTCCAACGCAGTGTGCTGTAACATGCAATAGCTTGCATTCATTAAAAAGAATTTCCCCAACTCATCAGCTTCTCAATGTCATGCCTCTTCCTAATTGCTTTATGCTAATTGCCATGTCCTAGCGTGCCTCTCTCTGAGAGGGCGCTATAAATAAGCAGCACACCCTGGAGGTGACGAGCGGAGTTTGGAGGCGCAGACCTCGGGAGTGTGTGTTGCTGCAAAGTTGACCGCTCCACTATCGGCGTTTTGCACCTGATCTTAGCTTGCCACCTTGCTTACGGCTTTTTTTTGTTCACAACAAAGTTCCATTTTTTGTTCGTATATATATTTACTGATCAGTGCTAGAGATATGATTTTTTTTTGGCTAAGTGCGCATTGATATCCAGCATGGTGAAGTTTGGTCATTATATCCCCTTCCCCCCCACCTCACGATCTCAGAATCAGAATATCTAATTCTTCTGGAGGAATCCGATGAGCTACCAAGCTTATTTTTTTACAGATATCCAGTACTACGTGGCATGGAGAGGCCACTGCGTCCAGCAGTGGGTTGACAAAAAAGTCCTGTACAAGCAGTGATGTCATGAGCATGTGTTGTGTGTGTGTGGCGTTTACACGTGTGGGACTTGGAATTAGTAAGCAGTTATCAAGATATAAATACACGCAAAAAATGTTGCTTCATGGCCTTGCCGAACCAAAAGAACTGGATTTAAGTGGTGAAATCCAGTGGCGATCCGCACATAACCAACTTGAAGGAAGTCAGAACCGAAAAAAACTACATTCTTTCCTTCCTAGAAATACACGTGCACTGTGCATTGTTGAAGGCGCGTTAATGATGAAGAAGAAAAACACTCTAAAGTGACTGTCTGGAGTGTTATCATCAGTGACGTCGCAGGCAGCGAGACTGCGGTACATCCAGTGACCCTTGTGCTGACGTCGGTAGAATGCCCTCCTGCACCTCTATTTAAAGTCGTTTTGGTCTTCTTCTTATAATTATCATAACTTCAAACTTTCCTACGCCGCCGATTAGCGCGGTTTGCTACGTATGGTGGGAAAGAAGTTGTACGTAAATAAATGAAAACTTGTGATGGGACAGCAAAGGTAGAAAACGTGCATAGTCACTACCGTGACGGTTTTTTTCCCCATTTAGTCTACCTATAGGTGCACATTTTCCATGAATTTGCCCTTTTAAGTGGCATAAATGAACATTTTTAAAAACCCGATATATTTACGAATTCTATGCGGTCACCAATAGTGACCGCATAAAAAGTTAAATCCGAGTACATGCATGCAGGCGAGCACTCAAATTTATGCCAGAAATTCTGCCTCCACTTGACCTGGCCATCACTCTCAACGGCCAGCAAAGAGCTGGCACCGCAGAGATCCTGGGCTCGATCCTGGCTTTCAGCCGGCTGTAACTGAACGGTCATCTTTGGAATCAAATGTTCAGTTTGACGTTAAAATTACTTAGATTTTTTTGCAAGGGAGGTGGCCAAGGTGGCTTCGTGATCAGAGCGCTAAGTTGCCACTGCTGATATTCTGGGTTTAAATATGGGCCGCCGGATGCGATTAACATGGATTGTCAAGTGGAGCGAATTTCTGGTCTCGGGCCCGGCCACCAATCGGGTTAACTGTCATGCAAGGAACATTTCTCTCCAGAACAGGACGGGTGCGAAAACGCTGCCCCCTATTGTAGATAAGAGGTCACCGAAAGACATTTCTCAAACTAATTCGGGCATATTTCTTCTGCAGGCCATTCTCCGACACGGGGTGGTGCACTGCTCTGCATGACAGTTTATACAATTTGTGGAAAAGACCAAACCAAAAATCTAACGACTGGAGCACTACTATGGCACTCGTAACGCCACTGCAGTGTGCCAAGAGGTACGTGGACTCGCGCCGTGAGTAGTTGTCTGCAACTAGAAGCACACTACCCTTACACGGTGTGCCCTTCACGTAGATAGAGGACCTCCTGAAGTCACTTCACTCGTTTGTGAAGTCATCATCTGGGGCAGTGTTCTCCACAAATGTTCAATGGAGGGCCACTTTCGCCAATAATACATCAGTGTGTGAGAGCCGCCACATTTGAAACCATTGGGTTTGACTGCCATGATGGGGTGATGTTCTCACTTGTTGTGTATTGTCGGGGCCTGCTCGTCAGGGCTGCAATTAAGACCACGAATCTCGGCCCGTTCTTTGACGTAGGGTGGGGTACTGCCAGCTGCGTGGCGTTTGAATGAAAATGCCCTCGTCTTGTGACGTAACGCCGATACCATAGTTGGAATATAATTGGCAGATATACAAACGGAAAAATGTAGTTTTGCGTCCATTTAGTAAATCTCACCAGCAGTTAGTGGCTTGGAGTGTTGCGCTGTGACGACACTAACAGCAGGGCTATTCGCATCCACTCGTTACAACGATTTTGCAGTGACGGGTTTAATTGTTTTCTGCTAAAATCGGCAGCCAGAAGCTGACAAATGCCATCAATTATCCCTCGGGTCTCTACCAGACACCATACTGCGCTGTCATATTGTAAAAAGATTGGCGTACAATTGCAGTTTTCAGAGTAAGAAATGCATTCATGACAGGTGTTTTGGTTGGCATGGGTTTAAAAAAACAAAAACTTAATTCAATGGTGCCTGAGACTGACAAGAAATAATACGAATATACAGCTGTTGATAAATCCACTGCTAGATGAAGACCTCACACAACATTGGCTATGGGGGGGTTTATTCACCATACTTCACTATGCTAGTCGGTGCAGGTTGATAAAGGGGAGGCTCGGGACCAATTCTGATATCACTCACCACTTACTCGCCATAGCCACTGCTCCCCCACACCTGTAAGAAGACACTCAAAGCTCCAGCACAGCTCTGTTCATGAACCTACTTGCTGTACTGCTATCTCGTGGCCACCCAGCAGGTTTGGGAGTTACACAAATCCACGTGATCCACAACCCCTTCCCGGATCACAGGTATCCACCATCACACAGATTAGCACGGTTGGCTGCGTACGGTGCAAAATAAGTTCAACATACATACTGGGCTACGGTTCGGTGATAATTATAATACCAAGCAAGGCTTTCAGCCACTGACGAATAGGATTCTTAATATTCAGTAAAAGTGTTAGGACTAATATGCCAAATCCAAGCATGTATTTTGAAGAATTAGGATTCACTGGTAAAGCACAGGGCACAAACTCAACTCACACTCAAAATCGTTACTCATAAAACCATGTATTACTTTCTTCAAAGCAACTCTCTCAACCCTTCGGAAAATGAATGCAAGCATCTGCATGTAAACATCGCGTTACAATATTATTTAACATCCAAAGTTGCGGTACAAAGTTGAGGTGTCGGAATTTTTTTTTTTAGTCTTCAAATAAGATGAAAAAAAACACTGACCCGCTGAACAATGCTTTGCGACCAAATTGGTGCGAAAGATCAGATTTTATGGCTTATATTTCTTCACTTGGAAAGCTCCACAGAGTTTTTAAGACTCTTTTAACACGTTTAAGGAATTACTGTTTCACTGGCGTTTTTTTGTTTATGGAAGGAAACAAACACGTGGAGAAAATCCACACGTAGGAAAATACTACGGACTCAGTTCACATGTTGGAAAATGTTTGTTTTAACCGATTTTATTTGTACATAATTGTGGCCAGGTCTCCATTAATAACTCTGGAGACAACCACCAAGGTCACGCATTTTGAACGATTCGTCAAGATGTGAATCTGGCCCTAAGCCTCTGCAAATAACAGGACAACCCTACTTTCTGTATACACCCCTACAGTCCCATCCTATAGCCCAGCAAATGGGCACATTACGCACATCACCACATCTCTTGCTATAGAAGCAGAAATTCAGAACTCCTATACGATCTACCAATCCCATCTCAGAGTCGCTGGATTAACAAAAGGTGGGTATATGCTGCCACCACCACCACTCTCAGCCAGCAGCAGTTTTAAGTCCAGGCTTGGTGAACCACCAAAGCTCCAACTTTCCAAGTCTACCAATGTTACTCTTTGAAATGCAGGGCATTGGCCGATATGTGAAGTTCACAATATATACATACACACACACTCTCTCTACCGGTCTGATTGGAAAGATTGGTTTGGTTGGTGGGTCCCAGGGCCTAGAGTTAGAGAACATTCGAGCACCGATACACCCCAACGTGACATGGGTCAACTGGTGTGCAGGTCACCACGTGGAGGCCAACGTTCTGCTCGCATAACTGCGAGGCACATTTTACACCATGGTGGGTGAAAGATAGGCATGACCTGTCAGGTTAAGTCGAAACAGGGTTGTTGCATTTTATTTTATATTATCATAAACTTATTGATACAGAATAACAAGCCTCAATTCACTTTGCAACGAAAGTTTTTTTTTAAAGATCCATACATTAAAAGGCAGTAATGGTGATGAGATTATAGAAAATAAAAGTGAGGAAATTAAAACAATACAATGAAGCGATTAAATCCGAGATGCAGATTAAAAACCAGTCCCGATATATGACCTTCGTGCCCATTATGGCACTAAAATGCCCCATCACTAAAGCCTTACAAATCGGGCCTTTTGTCTAGTTGTGGAACGCGTATTAGCTCACACATTACGGTTTTTACAGAGCAGCCCAGAGCAACAGAAAGCGGACACCAAATCAAATAAGCGTTTTCTCATGGTGGAACTTCCAAACGATTGATGTTCACTGCAAGCAATGTATGAAAAGACAATCTCAAGGTGGTTTTGAAAGGCCAATGCAACGAGTGTTTACATGGAGTTGACTGAAAACCAGAGCCACAATAAAAGCACATCCATTTAAATTTCCCACAGGTAAGCCTCTAGTCACCTTTTTGAACCAGCAATTCACTTCGACTGTCACCCGAAGCATCCAAAGGTCATAACAGTGGGAACATTTGAGAATAATATTTGCGTGTCTGACAATTTCACCAGTAATAGTTCCATTGTAAAAAGCATTGTAAAAAATATGAAAGAATCTGATTGCTGGCTCCCCTAATGGGCAACTCGGATGAACACTTACAATCAGATTAAAAACGAACACATGACCTTTGAATGTTCATCACGTCTTCAAACAATAATTTTTCCAATGCCTGAACAAAACTCCATCATCACTCTGTGCCACTGCCGTGTACCAGGTTGCCACAGTTGCTCATCATAATAGTAGAATGGCCTAAGCGGTGGCGCATTCGCCACTTGTTGCAAAAGTTCACGGGTCGAATTCAGCGGCCACCCTGGTTATTACCGTGGGTGTAACAACCACGACAATACGCACCATCTGCTCAACAGTGGACGGTAAAGATCCTCTGTCGTCATTCGCAATAGGATTGAAATTTGTCGAATTCTAAGTTACTTGTAAAATTACTCAAATCGAGATTATATATAGCAGCAATCATCGCAGATTAATGCCCCAAATCACTCTTGCAAATAAGAATATTTTGGTCTCTCATGTTCTCAGCTGGTTAAACAATAATCAACTGAACAAACTTTAACTAAACGTGTTGCCAGTAACCAGTCTGTGACAATTTCCCCGTTTACCATGGCCTCAAATTGAGTCTATAAAAGCACAGGCCATTAATAATGACATCACTTTTTATTTCGCTTGCTAATGGCACTCCCCTACATGGCCAAAGCAGGATATGACAACATACTCGTTGTCGATAGCCCATCGACAATCGTCGCGCCTTTGTTGCGCAGCTTTCGCTGGAAATTGTAGAGCACAGCGCTGCACCGTGCGACAGTAAGGCGACAGGGCAGCAAACGGTCGGCTGTCACTTTGTGTAAAAAAAAAAAATCACTGCATGAAGACAGAAACACTGCTTCACGGAAAATAGCAGCAACCTGGTGGTTTTGCTGCCAGTTATCAGCAGAAGCAGCCTTCTCGCGATCACAAATTCAGCGCATTTAGGGATCATTCAACATCACCATTTATCACACGTAAACAAATCACAACCATGGGATGGGAGAGGGGAGACATGCGAATGTATTTTTTTCAAAATAAAGTTGGTGAAAATTCGAGGGGTGTGAGGATAGGCAACAGTGTATAATACCCCATGCATGATGTGAAAATGGTGTAATGTTGTATGATCCCCAAGTTCAACATACATTTTTTTGGCCAGTTAGAAGACCTTTAAAAAACAAGTATGACCTTACACACCATGCATTTGAGGTCAGTCGAGTGTAAGCATCACCCCACACACAACCAATTTACTTAAGAGGCGACTGTGACACGTTAATAGCGTCAATGTACATTGGTATATAAGGAATAACAAAAGCGTCAGTGTTTTGGGAACCATATACCCGTACCGCAGGTGAACAAGTGAATGGCGTATCCAATTTAACATTCCGAATGAAGTTTTGAATGTGAAAACTAATTTCAGTTTTTTAAATTAAAAGTCCAATTATGTATCAGATAGGTCTACTACATGTTTTGTATCGCTCCAATTTGTGATACAGGATCATGGGTTTCCAGTTTTAATTCGCTCAAACAAGTTCAAGCACACAATTTATTTTCCCAAAATCTATTTTGTATAGCAATTGCCTTAATTCTCCAATGTGACCAATTGGATACATTTTAGCGGGGTCGGTTCATCCATGATTTGCATCACCACAAATGATACCAGATTTAAATTAAACGCACCATTAAAATCGAGCCAGCAAGGTGTTCCTTTCAGCTCGTGTGGCGTCACTCATTAGAAAAAGTAAAATGCCAAATGTAACGCGCAACCATGCCATCGCAAATAACATTTCAGGGACTGCCTAGGCAACAGAGCATAATCACCGACTGAAAGTGCCACTGTCATTATGGACAAACACAGCCTTATAAACCAAAACAAAGCTAACAGGAGCAAGCTAGCATTTTGGCCGATGGCACTTGTCTGCTCCGTACTATGACAAAGCAAGAAGAGACCACCGACTGAGATAGTAGCTTGCCACGTATCTTTCAGTGCATCATAAGGCAGTGTTACTTAAACGACAAAGGTGATCAAGTATTTTCAATGTGGTTTCCAGTTGGGCCAAATGATCACTGTAAACCACACTCCTGACCAGTATCGCTGGGAACCAGAGAAAGCCGCATTCAAATCGAAAACGCCCACGCCTTAAACCGCCGCCTTGACATTCAAATTCCATTTGTACAAGTTATTTCTTTAAAATAATAACATTTAATAATAAAATCTATATCTTATTTGCGCCAGCGTCTATTAGAACCCGCTGGTTTTAGACCCATCTCGTGCGGACACAAGTTAAGTACTGTGTTATTACTTTACGATCTCTGGTTTTTTTGTACGATCTGCGATGGAAACATTGGCGAGCGGCAGAGAGAGTTTCAACAGCAGCGCTGCGTCGCCGTGTGCTTCGAGCTATTACGAGATCAGCCCCGACAGTTGCGCAGTCAGCCAACTGCCAACATAACAGGCATACACACACCCACACAAGCACGCACGCACGAACTTATGAACACAAAAGATCCATCATTGATGACTGCTGGGACAAGTGCTGGTTCATGAGCACCTCTTCAGCAGACCGGCACAGCACAAGGTGTTGGGGCATGGCCAGAACCACGTATGGCTCGAAAACCCCTCGTCCCCCCTATGCTGACACTGACCACCCAACACCACCAGGAACTCGCTTTCAGCTTCGTGGACCTAAGACAGAACCATTCCTGGGCTGAGATAGAAATTTCAATACCTCAAGCAATGTCAAGCATATACATACACACAACCCACGCAAATGTACGCAAAACATCTACACGAGCATACACAGCCACACACACACACAATTGTGGTCATTAAGTGCCAGTCTCAACACATGGATTTTTTGTTGTTGGTTACCAATGAATATGCAATCGTGTAACTGCTGCTGAGCAAACGTTATGGGCCTAAACTGCAGCTCTCGTCAGTCCTAATAATTACACAACATAATGAAAACCCAAATCTTGAAGTCAGAAAATACTGCAAATACTGCACTAGATATCTCGCTCAGTGATGATTGTGTGCACGTGTGTCCTCGTTTTAAGAGAATACAATAACAATCGAGCATGGCCATAAAACCCACCACGAGAGCCAAAGACCTGAACCACATTTAGAACCCAGGTACTGTTTGAGAAGCGCACTCAAAAGTACAACTTTACACGTATATAAAAATAGACGCATGTGCTTGTCATACCATTATTTTCATCGTCAAACACATCGTACATAATTCGAAATATGTGGTATAAGTACTCCAGGTGTAGACACAGCAGCGTAGTCAAAGAGGTCCAACGAGTGGCAGGAGACAAGCCTGGCTCCTCTGGCCTCTAAGACCGGTGCCACTCCACTGATCCACCTTGTTCCTGAAAGGGATTGTTTCACCTCAAGAGTTCAAGAGAGCAACAAAGGGGTCAGTCAAGACAGCAGAGTTCTCAGTTGTCGACGACGGGAGAGCAGAGCAGTCTGCCCGGTGGAAATGTTCACGTCCCAAGGCTGAGCTGGGTTCACCGTTGTCTCAGAAACACCAGGAAGAAATGTGAGGTGACGCAGCTTCTCGGTCATTGACAAGGCCAACCTGCCTTCTTACTCCAACACGAGGCAGAACCAGATGCCTTGGCAAATACTCTTTGTCACAAACCCAAGCTTGGTTGATAAATATGGCAATAGGGCCACCATCCACTCGTACAAAAACATGGGGTAAATGAGACATCAACTTCATTCTTTCGAAACAAAGGTGGACCAAGTTTCTTGTCATTGACCCCATTGTGGCTTCGTGAGTCACGGCGATGTTGGTGATGGGTTTAGCCACCATACACTAAAAACAAACTTCAGCCCAAATTAGGGCCAAATCAATATTAATATTTTCTATTCCGTTGGTGAGCAGCAACGTGATAGACGACCACACCTCCACTGAACACACAAAGCGAACACCTGACCAATCAACTTCACATGAGGGAGGCCCAGGCAGTCAGGTTTCCTCTCGAATGACAGGGTGTGTAAATGTTGGCAACCAACAATGCAGATTCAGGTGTCTCAGTGTTAGCTCTCTGTGCAAGCAGGCGTTGGTGGCAAGTAATGATTTTATATTTTTTATTCATCACACTGCTGCTTCAGTTGATGGCAACTTGAGCTCAGGCAGATGGTGTTTCTGTGTCACCCGGTGAGCAGGTGAAAAATGCTGGCGATCGGTTTTAGCCACCAAATCTCCAGTTCACAGGGGATAAACCAATGTCGGCTCCACGGTGGCCCAAGTGTCTCCATCTCCTCACCACGTGAGCGGGCGGACAATGTTGCTGAACGGTAGTGGTTTTGTCCACCAAATACCACACTGCACAACACATTGACATGTCAGCCAGTGGCCCAAGCAGTCCAAGGTGCGTTCCTCACCTATCGGGCTGACGATGGCCGGTTGCCTTGAATAGTGGTACGTGGCATCTGGTGCAGTGATCTGTTGCCACCGATCATGATGACGATATGACGGCGACGATGGAGTCCTTTTGAGCAGCCACGCACGCCATCCACGCTACGACTTGTAGTTGGACGTGAGCCACGTGAGGCCCTCGTAGAGACCATCGCCCGTGGAGGCGCACGCCGGCTGCACGTACCAGTTGCGGTCACGAACCCTGGTCAGTCCGAGCTTCTCCTGCACCTCGTGGGGCCTCATGGCGTCGGTCAGGTCCTGCTTGTTGGCGAACACCAGGATGATGGCATCGCGCATCTCGCGGTCGTTGATGATGCGGTGCAGCTCTTGCCGAGCCTCGTCCACGCGGTCTCGGTCGGCGCAGTCCACCACGAAGATGAGGCCCTGCGTGCCCGTGTAGTAGTGCCGCCAGAGGGGCCGGATCTTGTCCTGGCCACCCACGTCCCACACGTTGAAGCGCACGTTCTTGTAGGTGACCGTCTCCACGTTGAAGCCCACCGTGGGGATGGTGGTGACGGGCTGGCCCAGCTTGAGCTTGTACAGGATCGTGGTCTTGCCGGCAGCGTCCAGGCCCAGCATGAGGATGCGCATCTCCTTGTTGCCGAACATCTTGGAGAGGAATTTCCCCATTGTTGGTCGATTTCCACCCCCCCGGGGGTGGTAGCCGATGTGAAACTGCCGCAAGGGAGCTGACCAACGCTGCCTACTCGCAGCAGGTTGAAATCAAAGGGCCGCGCGCCTATTAATGTTCTACCTTTCAAAACAGCGGCACTGTGAAAATGTAAATTGTTTATAATATTTAAAAAAAATGTTTTTACAAAGGAGGAAAAACTGCTGGTCCGCACGTGTACAGTACTCAACTATCCGCCCTTTCGTATCGTACACTCCTGCCGGATAATTAACCGCAAAGCGGGCGAAATCGAGACGTTTGTATGCAAGTAGATGTCTAACAGTGTTGTAATTAAAATGACTTACGTTAGAATAGTAAGAGAAGAATGTCGAAACAGTCGTGCGACCTAAAAACTCGCGTCGCCCCGAATTAATCGACAATCGTCGTCGCGAGATGCGGTACTGCAGTTGTGACCACGCACGTGACCTAAATAAAACATTTACACATTACCGCACTTTTAATCAAACAGCGGTGCTATTAAACCCAAAAAACTCTTCAAACTAAACTGAGAACGACACGAGGGAAAGTTAGCGGTCTTCTCCTGCCTCTTACCTGTCTATGCCATACACAGTAATAAGCACTCCCTGTGCACTGTATAGTTATTTTAACCGGCGTACGACCCTAACATTTTACACCGTTCTATCACAAAATAAACTAAATGTCGTTTAAAGAGGGGCGAAATAAAGCTAAGCTATTTAAATAAAAAACTAAAATAAATCGGCAAAATTAAACACCGTATTTTTTTTGCCGGCGAAAGGCCTCGAAGCCTACGGTCTTTCCTAGAAACCTCGCGAGTCTCGTCGCCTCCTAACCGGGCTCGGCAAGCCGTATCCGACCGACGTCTTCTGCCCGCCCGCCTCGCGGTCTTTTCCGCTTAAATCGCGCAAACAAATCGGTAGAATCGACCCGTCCCTGCCCGCCAAATCGCTCTGCCGTCGTCGAGTCGTTTTGCTTTAATCCGCACGGGAAACGAGCCGCGAGACGAGCGGTCGAGGCGCGAGGCGGCGGTGGGCGGTGGAGTGACCGGATAAAGAGTTCAGCAGCGAGACACCACGCGGGACCCCGCCCCCCCCCTCCCTACCACCACCCCCACCCTCCCTACCACCCCCTCCTACTACCACAACCCCCACCTACCACCCTCCCTACCACCACCTCCTCCCTCCTACCACAACCCCCACCCCCTCCTACTACCACCCCCACCTACCACCCCCACCTACCACCGCCACCTACCACCACCACCTACCACCACCACCCCCTCCTACCAACACCCCACCCCCTCCTACCCCCACGCCCTCCTACCACCACCCCCCTCCTACTACCACCACCCCCCCTCCTACTACCACCTCCTGCTACTACCACACCCCTCCTACTACTACCCCCACCCCCTCCTACCACCACCCCCTCCTACCACCACCACCCCCTCCTACCACCACCACCCCTCCTACCACCACCCCCTCCTATCACCACCCCCTCCTACCACCACCCCCACACCCTCCTACCACCACCACCACCCCCTCCGACCACCATCACCCCCTCCTACCATCACCCCCTCCTACCAACACCCCCACCCCTCCTACCTCCTACCACTACCCCCTCCTACCACTACCCCCTCCTACCACCACCCCCTCCTACCACTACCCCCTCCTACCACCACCACTCCCTCCTACCACCACCACCCCCTCCTACCATCACCACCACTCCCTCCTACCACCACCACCCCACCCCCTCCTAGCACCACCCCCACCCCCTCCTACCACCACCACCACCCCCTCCTACCACCACCACCACCTCCTACCATCACCCCCACCCCCTCCTACCACCACCACCACCTCCTACTACCACCCCCTCCTACCCCCACCCTCCCTCCTACCACCACCACCCCCTCCTACCACCACCCCCACCCCCTCCTACCACCACTACCACCTCCTACGCCCACCCCCTCCTACCACCACCACCCCCTCCTACCACCACCACCCCCTCCCTCCTACCACCACCACCCCCTCCTACCACCACTCCCACCCCCTCCTACCACCACCTCCTACCCCCACCCCCTCCTACCACCACCACCCCCTCCTACCACCACCACCACCACCTCCTACTACCACCCCCACCCCCTCCTACCTCCACCCCCTCCTACTACCACCACCCCCTCCTACCACCACCCCCACCCCCTCCTACCACCACCACCCCCTCCTACCACCACCCCCACCCCCTCCTACCACCACCACCACCTCCTCCTACCACCACCACCCCTCCTACCCCCACCCCCTCCTACCACCACCACCCCCACCCCCCTCCTACCACCACCCCCACCCCCTCCTACCACCACCACCCCCTCCTACCACCACCCCCACCCCCTCCTACCACCACCCCCACCCCCTCCTACCACCACCACTACCCCCTCCTACCACCACCACCCCCTCCTACCACCACCACCACCCCCTCCTACCACCACCACCACCACCCCCTCCTACCACCACCACCACCTCCTACCACCACCCCCAACCACTCTTTCTTCTCTCCGCCAACCAACTCACCCACACACATCCCCTTCAATTAATTACTCTGTTTCCACAATCCACAAGGGAGTCTTTCTCTCACCCCCCCCCCTACACACTACCCCAACCACGTCCTTTATTTAACCCTCAAGCGATTGTTCACCGTCGAGTGTCTTCCCTGTGTTTTTGTTGTTGTTCTTCTTCTTCCTGACAAGGCGGCCTTGACCGTGCCACGCCCGGGCATCATTTTATTCTACCAAACATTCCTGATATTGTGGTTGAGCTTTGTATGTGTCACTGCATAGGGCCACGTTTTTAGTTGGTATTTGGGATAACTAACTTCACAGGGTTGCCATTCTTTATGTCACCGTGCCACATTTAGTGGTCTCACGATCGAGCCACCTTATCCTTTATTGAAACATTGTACCGTATTGCTACCGTGGTGTGTGGGGGATAACTCAAAGACTGTCATCCTTAACGTTACCATTGCCACACCCAGCCCGTTTTCTCTGATGGCCTTTTAAAGTCTATTAGTCACATCCTTGACATCACTGGCAAAACAGTCGCGTCCCTCTTGAATGAAATGCGGTCTTTGCCCTAATAGGCCCAACCCGTCATGTTTTCAGTACCGTTCAAAATCCTACATCATTTATTCGCTACAAGAAACTACAGTCGTTGCGTATTTGTAAAATGAAGTATTAACCCCAACACAAACACAAATACAATACTCTATACACATTCCTTCACATTGCAGTCGATGACAAAGTCACCCGAAAAGCGCCCGATCTCGAAAGTTCTCGAATGCTAAGCTGAGTTGACCCTGGGTAGTTTTTGGATGGGCGACCACCGTACACAGCAGGCTGTTATAGACTGTCGTGGATAACAAATACAGTCGTAAATTTTGATTTAAAGCTTTCGTGACTGCAGGGATTCATAGGTGAGTAATGCTAAGCTTGGCAGTGTTCATTAGGACGCTGTCTTTCCGACAGCTCTGTTTCTTCACCTGAGGACGGCTGCTTGCGTTGTGGCCGAAACGTCGTGAGAATTTTATTTTATTATGTTTGATTTGTATTATTTTATTATTTCCCTTCTACGTGACTTTACCGAAAGAACTGAGAATATAAACACAGTCGTGTTACCGTACTCCCACGTTTGTGCTCCCCGCCTTCACCCACCCATAATGACCAACGTGGTGAAGTATGGACAAACAACCCCATCATGTCACGGTGAGGCCCCTTCTCCCCTCGCCCCCGTCCAGCAGTCGAGTAACAAAAGTGCTGTGTGGGTGGACACAATAGTGGCAGTGATCGGTGACGTGCCTTTTGTGAAAGTGTCCCGCACATCAACTCTGACACACCCCACACATTGCGCACCATTCACAATCTCTCACCCACCCACCCCCCCGAACCTCGTTGCTACAGCGGTGTGCAACCTCTCTTGAAGGTGGATTTTTAACCCCTGCACACCCACCAAGCACTGCCATTGCACAATTCATATTGCCTTATGTCACTTAACCGTAGCACAGGTGAGTAATGCAACCATTATGATGCAGTAATGGTGCCATGTTTGCGCACTGCACTATAAAAGTACATTTTAGGTACGGCAATGCATCCTGTGCGTGTGTATATATATATACATGTATGGACATTTTACACGCACTTTGACGTAGAGCAGATGTCCCATAAACCTGGAGAGACCTGAGTTTGATTCCCGGCCATGGCTAACATCAGTGGCGAGTGATATCAGAATCGGTCTTGGATTCCCATCACCACCTACCCACACTGACAGAGGAGGGTGCAGGAAAAAAAAAACACGATTGTTGCGCTGTAGTATGATCCAAAGTCTATGCTGGCCCGCTATCACCAACATGCATGGATCCGCGTTGCACAAGGTATGGTCAAATAAGCCCCAGGATCTGAATGTTGTGGGGTAGGAGGGAGGCGGGGAATTTCATCCAGCAGTGGATTGAGACGGCTCTAAGTGCAGTACACAACATTCCAAAGAACAATGGGAAAATAATGAATGTCATTGTATACAATACATGTTTCTCACGTTGTTTATTTTCAACCTCCGTCCCTGGAGTGTGGAACCCCATTCCAAAACCGTACATGCGAGACATTCTGAGCCCTGTTCAACTCCAGGCTTAAGAATTTCCTGGTTTTATCTCTCCGTCTATAAACATGCACACGTGTGTCTGTACAGCATTTTGATAAGCGGCCGCTGATACAAACAGTTCCCGTATTGTATAACACCTTACGTAACCAATGCTAAACAAAGCCAGTTTTGTGAAGGGAAGGAGGATTACAAAAAGAGCTGGCAAGAAGAGAGTGTAAAAAAAGGTTCGCGCGTTCGACGAAGGTGGGATTCGAACCCACGCGTGCAGAGCACAATGGATTAGCAGTCCATCGCCTTAACCACTCGGCCACCTCGTCACGGGCAACAGTTTAAATGCATCAATTGACATGCATCAACTGACATGCATCAATTGACATGCATTAATTGACATGCATCAACAAACATGCATCAAATTGACATTCATCAACTACCATGCAACAATTGACATGCATCAACTACCATGCATCATCTGAGATGCATCAACTAACATGCATCAACTGACACGCATCAACTGACACGCATCAACTGACACGCATCAACTGCCATGCAACAACTAACATGCATCAACTGACATGCAACAACTAACATGCATCAACTGACATGCATCATCTGAGATGCATCAACTACCATGCATCAACTGACACGCATCAACTGACACGCAACAACTGACACGCAACAACTAACATGCATCAACTGACATGCATCAACTACCATGCAACAACTGACATGCATCAACTACCATGCAACAACTGACATGCATCAACTGACATGCATCAACTGACATGCAACAACTGACATGCAACAAATGACATGCAACAACTAACATGCATCAACTGACATGCATCAACTGACATGCATCAACTGACATGCAACAAATGACATGCAACAACTGACATACATCAACTGATAAGCAACAATGTCTATTAGATTGACATTGAAAGTCTAGCAACACCAACTTTGTAAGTTACCAAGTACTGGTACTGCATTAAGCATCGTGAACTGATAAAATAATGTCACGAGACAATTGACCAAGTATTAGACGTGCTGAATATATACAGGCTCCTAAATGCGTTGCTGGAATCGCAAAAAAAATTGTATAATATATTGGCCTAATAAAGTTGCCAGATTTTCTCGAGTCGCTTTGAACTTCATTTTGTTGCGAGCGAAGCCAAAAAGAGTTGCTCAATCCAGAAACCAAATCACAACGTTGGAAACACCGCACCTCATCATCACCAGCCATGATCTACTCACTGCTGGATGAAGACATCGTCAATCCCTCACCACCCCTCATGGAAATGAGATGCCACTATCTAACTCGCTCATGCGAACGAGTTATATATTATTGTATTTTATTACCGGCTGTCGGGACTGTATGAAAAATGTATTTATTTTATTTTTATTTTCTATCTCCGTGACTTTACCAAAAGAACCAAGAATATGAAGACCAAAATAAGTCTCATTTGCAAAAGTGGCCTGGGGGGGGGGGGGGTCACCAAAACGACAGAGGCAAAACAGAACGAGTTAAAACAATAAACTACAATCAACGAAGCAAAGAGAAATTAGAGAAAAGGCAACCGTCTCTCAACGACAAATCTAAAATATGGCACAGACATTAATGGAACAGGTCCCTTACAATTCAAATTGACCAATGGGGAGCGACCGCTGGGGGGTGGATGGGGTGGGAGCGCCACCCGTTGAGACGGGAGGGGATTCCTCTGAGGGGCGAGCCCAGGCGTGACCCCACTTCACCAGAATCATATAACAAATTATAACAATAGGGTTTACCCTTTCTTGGCAATAAAACAGTTGTGTTAAGATGTTAAAACATCCAACCGTAATCCTTTTCAAGGAATCCTGTCCGCATTAAACACGCGTGTTTGTGGTGGACATGCAATCAAAAGTGCTCTGATACTTCTAGAATACTCTGATACTATATGCATTCTTTGAAACTGATTGGTCCAAAGCAAAGACAGCTTTCGTTATATATAATAGGGTAAAACCTGTTGTTATATTTTGATACTGTCAAGAAAGGTCCCATATTGTCACCAGAATCATATTTATTTATGCCGGAGCAATCCGATGAGCTATAAAGCTCTTTCCCAAGGAATGTGCAGAACGTTGCAACAACAAACGATGCCAAGACACGACAGGAGTGCAAACGTATAGGAAACATAAACAAATCACGTTTTCAAAAAACATACCAATAAAACGAAACTATACACATCTTTTTATCTTACCAGGTAAAACTCACTGAACGATTAACTTGTTTTTTTTTTCAGAAGCGACCTGGCCACCACAAATGTGGCTTATCACGCGGAAATGTATAGCAGCAAAATAATAATCATCAACATTCCTCTACACCGACTGAGGCGTGAGCACGTGGCCGTGATCACGTGGCCGTGATCACGTGACACGCAACAATAGAGCGGCGATGTACGTCATAACACTCGACGCACCACGTGGCAATTAAAATAAACAACAAAAAGCCGACGTTTCGGGCAATTTCCCTTCTGAAATAGCACGCAAATACACAATTACAAATAGCAATGCGCACGTGGGCCACGAGGAATGATACAAATATGAGTTCGTGCGTGAATTTAGTTTTTATTATTTGAACGGTTTGTCTGTTAATGTCAATTATCTAATAGGTACTCACTCATATGACAATTTGAAAACCGTTCATCAGGAAATATTTTTTAAGTTGTATATTTATCAGTGCCCCATGGTGTAGAATGTATTCTCCAACTATTATTCATTCTATCGTTCTGCCCTCTGTCTTTGTTCAATCAAGAGGAAACATTGCCCGACACATCACCAATTCTACATTGTTCCTTGTAAGGTAGTATTTTTGACAAATGTGATGAGTTTTTGTTATTTGTGCACCATTGCCAACTGAGTCTTAGTCTACTTATAAATGAGTTTATTTGACTAATAGCTACGACTTTATTGCATTAAATTAGCCGACATGGACCTGCTAGTTTCAATGACCAATTTCCTCTGTGTGGCTTCCCAGTCAAACTGCACAGCACTTGCAGCGATAAAATAAGCAATCGACGTAAATCTAATATAAGCGAAAGGCAGCACATCGTAAAGTACGGTACAGTATTTAAATTGCCCCAGTAAATAATTGTCTACATCATTCAAAATACTCTTTGGGTCTTTCGTTAAAGTCACGTAGATAGAAAAATAATGAATTTCTGCAGTCACGAAAGCTTTAAATCAAGATCATTAAAAATGTCATCCATCCAATGGAGGAAAAAAGTCCTCATCCTGATGACATTCGTATAGGTTGATAACAATGCTGTGTCTCATCTGACGAGGTGGCCGAGTGGTTAAGGCGATGGACTGCTAATCCATTGTGCTCTGCACGCGTGGGTTCGAATCCCACCTTCGTCGACAATTTTTTTGGGTTTAAACATACCATACTCTCCCCCCCCTCACCCCGTTTTCCCACCGGTCGTAAGCCAAATGACTTTTCTTTTTTTTCATATTCCTTCCCCAACGGACAGCAAATTCCATTTCATAACAAAAAAGGTATGAACATTCCCGTCGCTCTCATTCGCCTACCACCATTCCCAACGCTGCAACAATGGAGCAATGCTATCTGCTGCCACCAAGCGTGCAAGTATTGTAATTGCACGCGTATCAATATCAATCTCAACCTATATTATGAATCTTATCCTCTTCCGGTTTTTCGGTAAAGTCACGTAGGAAAAAGTATATTAAAATAATAATAAATGCAAATAACTTCATTAAATCACGACGTTTCGGAAGCGACACAAGCCTCCGTCATCAGGTGTAACTGCTCCAGTAAAATTACTGTAGCTTGTGCCTCTTCACACGCTACAGTAATTTTACTATTATTATTTTACCTACGTGACTTTACCGAAAAAACCTAAGAGGATGAATCCTTGCAGTCACGAATGCTTCAAATCTACAATCAATCTCATCATCGCCCGTGGTCTCGCGGCCAGGGGTCGGAAATCTGCGGCTCTTTAAGGACTGCCTCGTGACATTATTCGTTCAACATCGGCTCGTATCCACACGCGTTGCGGCTGTTGAAATATTGAGGGGTTCTATTTGTTACCGAAAAATGTCTCTTCTTGTTATTTTGGTTGCCGACCCCCCCGGGTCTAGCTACCGGAGGGATACTTCCACCGCTGGAGACTCCGACCAAATCTCTCCAAAAACACCATAAGCTCTTTCCACATTGACAATCACGTAGTAGATGCCACGCTTGATGTATCCCTCTGTGGTAGCGCAGTGCACTGTGACCCCTCTCCAATATATCTGGTGGCTTATCATGGATAGAAGCCTGATCTTCAAGCACCGCGTAAAACAGATCTGCGAAAATATCCTGGAATACAGATGTAAGATTACACTGGTCAACAAAAAAAAAATTCTGGCCTGGACTTTTGCAGCTGTTTTAGACTAATTTCAGGGTGCTGATTCCAAATCTGATCTCAGATTTGCTCTATCACATCTCATTTTATATATCGGCATACCCCATTTTCATTGATTTTACCCGAAATTAACTCTGTCACTTATGATTGCAAGTTGTTGCGAGTCAGTGTTAAAATATGGTGCTGTATTTTTAGGATAGTGTGCTGATAATATCATTTTATGTAGATATCCACATTTATTTAATATTTTTCTTCTGCAGTTTTTATTGAAAATGCTATATTTGATATCTCAAAAACCTGATGTGATAAGACAAAAACTGATGCCAGATTTGGAATCAGCACCCCAAAATGCCAGAAAAAGTGTGTTGACCTGTGTTATCATTGATGGAAAACAAAGAGGCAGAGTTAAAATTAAAATTTATTAAGCGTCAACATGCAAAACCATCTTTTTTTTACAACCGTGCGAGTCGCATCATAAAGGGGACAGCAGATGATAGGTCACTACACTAGCTGGCCAATTCTAAAGGAGATGAGTAACCAGGTTCTATAATATTTTCAGCCATTAACGTATAACACATTACAGTGCACGTGTTTTATTGTATGTCTAACCTTGTCACCAAAATCATTTCCAAATTGAGATCATACATGGGAAACCTGAATGGCTATTGTATTAAACAGATGCCCTCATACCCAGATGAGAGATTTTCTCACTTCTCGGCTGTCAAACTTTAAAATGCCGCGAGGTCTTCAGTCCAATCAGGTGCGGCCCAATCCGGCATGGGCACCTCGAAGCCCCAACCAGGCCCGCTGTAGCGCAGGGCGTGCAGGCACATGCCCAGGTCTCGCGGCCTTGGGTCTGGCCGCTGCAGCCGGCACTCGCTGCAGATGGGGTCTCTCTCCGGCCACACAACCTCCGCCATCACAGGCTCACTCGCGACGTCACCACCACCACGAACTCCACCAGTGCCCGGTGGGATTCGCCCCCACGCCCAATCATCGGCGGCGCCCAGCCGCTCCACCAGCGAGCGCGCAGACGGCTCGCACGTCTCGTCGGCGATGCGCCGGAGGACGTCGACGAGTGGCGCTCCGCTGGCCCATGCCGGCGACCCGTACAAGGGGTCGAGCAGGATGGGAAAGCCCAGGCTCTGCAGGTGGACGCGCAGCTGGTGGGACCGTCCCGTCACGGGCACGCAGCTCAGCAAGCTCGAGCCGCCTGCGCAAGCGTCAGCGTCGTAACGCAGGCGGCGGAACAGCGAGCGGCTGGGCTTGCCGGCGAGGCGGTCCACGCGGCTCACGCCCAGCCGGCCCTCCACCACGGACAGGGGCTCCTCGCACACCACCTCTCCCGCCGGGAACTCGCCCACCACGCGGCACAAGTACTCCTTGTGCACCTGCGGGCGGCATCGTGGCGGCAGGGTCAACGCGTCAACACGTCAGTGAATGGCCACCACCGGGAGGATTTTACAGGTTGAAGGCATTTCGGATTTAAATGTTTTATGTACGTTGAACTAGATTTGAACGTGCAGAGCTGCAGTGGCCTAATATTGGAAGAGCGTTTCAGATGGACGTAAAAGTGCATCTGAAAGCGCGCAATGCGGTGACTGTCTTTATTCGATGGTTCACCAAAAACCTCTGCGAGGATAACCGGAGTTTGCGTGATGGTTTATATTCCTTGGGGAGATCAGCAAGGTACCATTAGTGGCAAGTACTTTGTGTGCCACCGCAACTTTCATCTGCAACTGTGCTTTAGGACTCCCTTAATCGCTTCCTTTATCTCCTCCTCCTGTTTCATCCCATGCTTCCTCTGTGTTTCTGCACTCGGAGACGCTTGTTAGGTTAGGGGCGCATTACACACGTAAGTTGGTGTAGTGTGTGATTTCTTTTCAATAAACAGGATGCATTACCGTACATTAAATGCATGTTATAGTGCTGTGCCCCGAGTGAATACTGCATCATAAAACGTAGCACAGCAGCGGTTATCACGACTGCAGTGGAATCATTACTCACCTGTGCTAAGGTGAAGTGATACTGTACAAGGCAACGCAAATTGTGCAATGACAGAGCTGGTGGGTGTGCGGGGGTGAGAAATCCACCTTCAAAAGAGGCTGCACACTGCTGTAGCAACAGCCTCGGGGTTAAATAGAGGATGACGGAGATTGTGAATTGTGTCAACTGTGTGGGTGTGTCAGAGTTAGGTCACAAAAGACGGGCGTGCCGTATCAGTCGGGGTTCAGTTAAGGCAATGATCACTGCTGCTATAGCGTACACCCACACAGCCCTTTTGTCACTCCACTGGTGGATGAGGGCTTCACCACATCGTGTGGATCGTGGGGGGGGGGGGGGGGGTGGAAGTGGAAAGCATGGAAAGCATAGACGCAAAAGCGTACAAGTGCAGTGGATTTGCTGCACTGCCCTCTGCTAAGCATAGCATAGCACTGCAGCCTTATAACCATGCATGGTGGTCCCCCATCTAAGCGCAATCCTAGTTCAATTTAGCTTAGCTTCCTTGATCTTACGAGGATGGCAGCATTCCCTGCTGGTTGCTCAGAGGCACAGGCATATATTTGTAAGCCAATTAAAAATGTGAATGTCTCCCTAATCCAATTGAGCATGGGGGACTGCTTATCTCTGTTGGTTCTGAGCCAATGGTAGAAAGTCAACATGCCGATGACACGTGCACATCTCTCTACATGACAACCATTATGGACTTCTCACAGTGGTAGAGATTGTGACCCTGGTGGGATAATTCACTGTGTTGACCACTGGCCTGAATTTGAACTCACGACCTGCCTGCCAATTGCCGATCAGGCACTCTCACATCATCATCCTCAGCCATGAGCAAATCCACTATTGGATGGCCTCCCCAAGCTGGCATCATATCTCGCTGTCCTGTGATGCACACCAGGGTTTCCCAAACTCTAATCTCTACCAGGGTTTCCCAAACTCCATCACCAATCTCTACCACGTTTTCTCAAACTTCCGCCACGCGTGCAGAGCACAATGGATTAGCAGTCCATCGGCTTAACCACTCGGCCACTTCGTCAGATGAAACACAGCATTGATATCAACCTATACGAGTATTTTAGAATTTACCTATTTTTCATGTACAAAAATTATATATATAGGCTGCACCTACTTCATGATTTCTAAACACGATCTAAAGCACCGACTTCAACTTGCAACAAATATCTTGGATCTGCGTTTACTTTGGGTGTCCCATGTGACGTATTTAACGCCGATTAAAATGTAAAGACCGTATTTAAGTGGGACGTGTTTATCAATCAGCAGGCTGGTGCAAGCGTGAAAAGACTTAATTTCTAATTCATCTTCGGAAAGTGTGGTGCCGTACGATGCACGGTGTTCGTGGGTCCCGATGGATGAACGAGTTTGGAGACAGCCTGACACCGACTCGCACAGCCATATCGTGTCATCCAGAGGATTTTTTACTTTAAGCCGGGTCTGAATCGGCCACACAAAAAATATATTTTCTCACCCGGGCACACCACACCCAGTATACCCCCTCGCTACTGCTACTCGTAGTTGCGTGCCCTACCGGCTGCAATCTTAAGTCTATCAGCGACCCGGGTGATAAATTAAGCCATCATCAATCATGATAATTGTTTTTTTTACCCTTTTATCTGGCAACAAAACTGACACCTTTTTTACAAGGAGTCATGTTTGCATAGACCACAATACCTGCAGTCATAATGCAAAAAAACACACAACTCTGATAATGTATGCACTGTCCTTGAAGTTGATTGGTCCACACCCGAGACAGCTTTCCTTAGAGCCTAGTCTCACATGGTGTTGGACCAGATGACGCCAAAAGGCGCACAACTCAAAGAAAATGCACCATCAGAATATGAGAGCTCGGGATAACCATTTACACCATTGGAACCTCATCAATCATCTTCATGAGGACGAGCGATGAGCGACGCGCAACGGGGAGCGCACCAGCCTCTGCCTGATCTGCTCATCCACCCTCCTGGACGCCTCTCTGCTCTTGGCGAACACCACGAGGCCCGACGCAAGGCGGTCGAGGCGATGCAGCGTGTGCAGCCCAGACACGCCATGCTCCTTGCCCAGCACGAACAGCAGCGAGCCGTGGCGATAGCGGCCGCACGGGTGGACGGGCAGCGACGCGGGCTTGTCCACCGCCACCAAATCGTGCTCCTCGGCCACCACCACCACGGGCCGTGAGCTCACGGGCGGCTCGTGCCTGTGGGCCCGCAGGCGGATCGTGTCGCCGTCGCGGAGCACGGCGTCCAGGTGGGTTCGGAGGCCGTTGAGGGTGAGGCGGCCCACGGCGCACGCGGCCTCGTACGAGGCCACGGTCTCCGAGTGGAATTCGCGCTCGTAGATTTGGCGCAGGGAGAGGCCGAGCCAGCGCGCCTTGCAGTGCGCCACCGCGTCCGCGTAGTAGGGGCGCACCTTGCGCAGGGAGCCCTGGAGCACCAACTCCGTCTCGGAGAAATGCGTCGCCGTGAAGGAGCGAGGAGATGGGGCGGGTAGGCTGCGGGTGGACGGGGGGGCGGTGGTTGTGGTGGTCGTAGACGGTGGGGTGAATGTTGCGATGGTGGTGGTGGACATTGGGGTGGTGGTGGATATTGGGGTGGTGGTGGACAGTGGGATGGACACTGGGGTGGAAGTCACGGTGGTAGTTGTGGTGGACAGCGGGTCTGATACTGGGGTGGAGGTCACGGTGGTGGTAGTGGTGGACATTGGGATGGTGTTGGACATTGGGGTGGTGGTGGACAGCGGGATGGACACTGGGGTGGAGGTCACGGTGGTAGTGGTGGTGGACAGCGGGTCTGATACTGGGGTGGAGGTCACGGTGGTAGTGGTGGACATTGGGATGGTGGTGTTGGACATTGGGGTGGTGGTGGACAGCGGGATGGACACTGGGGTGGAGGTCACCGTGGTAGTTGTGGTGGACATTGGGATGGCGGTGGTCATTGTTGCGGAGGCAATGAAGCTGCTGTTGGAGGTTAACTGTGGGACGGATGTTCTGCTAATGGAAGTGGTGGACGGTGCGGAGCTGGCGATGGTGCTACTGCTGTGGCAGGGTGCAGTCACGCTACAGGCGGTGGATGCCGGTGCGCAGGCGATGGACAACGGGGCACTGCTGGTGACAACGGCGTCTGCTGGAAACGTTACGCAGGGAGGGCTGAGAATATCCAACGAGGCATCGGTCGATGCACCGTCATCCACAGGACACACAGCGGCGGGCGATACGGCCAACGCGCCGACTGCGACGCCCGAATTGGTGGACTTTGAAACGGCCGCGCAGGCCATTGGGGTGGACGCTACAAAGGACGACGCGGGGGTCGCCAGGCCGTTGGTGGACGCCGGCGATACCCTGAAGACTGCGTCGTCCGCGGCGCCCCGAGCCCCCCCTTGAAGGCAATTCCGCGGCATAGGGACGCGGACACGCGGATCGTAGCCCCGCCGAGCCCGGCATTCGCTGCGGCTCCACGCGGTGGCTAAAGACGCGAGGCGAAGGCGCATTTAGAGGCCTCGAGTCACCTACCCCCACCCCTTACCCTCACCCCCCCCTCCTGTTGGGTGAATTCAAGTGACCCACTGACCCCCAACGCGGTCACAACGGAGACGCCGCGTGGACGAGCCGCTGCACGTGGTGAGCCGGTGCACGTGGGTCGCACTTCCGCGTTAGGCGCGACCTTTGACCTCTCTCTCTCTCGCGCGTGTTCACAATGCACTTTATTGACAGCACCGAGATGCAGCTGATGCCGTCGTTTTAACAGTTCATATTGAAATGAATGAATGCAAGGCAATGTTTGCGTGACATGTCACTGTTTAATGGGCTATAGCAATCGTATGACAAGAACAGTACTAACACGATAACAATACCAACTAAACACATTGTCTATTGCATGAGAATGTATTGATTGTACAGGGTAGGTCCAGATGTCTTGTGATCCCCATTTTTATTCTATTAAAAAAAGTAATCTTTTCAAGTAAAGTTTATTTAAAACAGAAATTTTACATGCAAAGGAAAACATGTTCGGGGTTAATTAATTCGGGGTCGCAAGACATCTGGACCATCCTAAATTGCGTTCGGAATACAATAAAGGTGAATTACAAACAGGGTATCATCGGGATTAATTGCGGGCTGCGTTGTGTGCGGGCAGCAGCAGTGGACAGTACTGCATGCATTGTTGTACGGAACTTCTATGCTTCCACGTGTCTATGCTCTCCGCCTCCACCGACCCGCATTGACCAGCGTGGTGAATTATGGTCAAATAACCCCCACGACCGACACAGGCGTGGGGGGGGGGGCTCATCCAGCAATAGATTGGCAAGAAACGACTTGTGTGTTGGGTTCAGACTGAATTAAAAAATAAATGTAGTTTAAAGTCCAGTAGGTGGGGATGGTGGGCCACGCAGAGATTACTACGCCTGCACGGCTGCGATATACCCACCAGATGGCAGTACATCAAGTGGCTCGCTAACCTTGTTTTGCGCGGTTTGTTTTAACGTTGTTCCTGCTCGCTCTGGATGGATTTTCCTCCCACACGAAGCCAAAACTCCCATTCGTGGAATTCATGGCCAAACAACCCAATGTAGCAGCAGCAGCAGCACTCACCTGAAAAACAGGCTTGGGCCACGGTGAGGTTTTCCAGTCTAAAACAGAGCGGTTTGTTTTTAAATAATAATCATCATCACTCTACTATCGAAGCTCTTCTGCCAAATATGGATGGTACTGCCTTTCTCGCGCCAACGCCTACAGCTGTCAATCCACTGCAAGAAGAAGGACTCCCTTCGCCTTACGGGTCGTGGGGGCATTATGACCATGCTTCATCACGCCTGGGTAAATATGGGTCTATTATTACATGTCAAGTTAATGCTGTTTCCACACTCAATCATGCAGTGGTGCTAATCTCCTGTCTGCAGCCTCTCCTGCTTTGAAGAAAAGCCCATGCATTGTCTCCATAGACCAGAAGAAACCCACTGCTGATCTCCAGATAAAAGCGTGGTGGATTATTTATCGACCCTGGAACAAAAGCTAATGGGCTAAGTCAACCAATTTTCAATAATTTTAAACAACACACAGAAACGTGTACAAAATTTACTACTAAGCCGTTGTGCATTATGCTGAAACCAAAAACAGTTCCTGAAGAATTGTACTGTGGTGTTCTTGTTACTTGCTGCGGTCTGCTTCTGGAAACTGTAGCGGAGACACCCAACTTCCATATTATGGAGTCCACTAGCTGGACTCATACGAACAATAATCAAATGTGTAAAAGGTGAGAAAAGCTCACCGTAACCAGAACAGAAACATTGCGCAAGCCGGAAAACCATGAGTTTCAAACATCGCTTCACGTGTACACATGTACACAAAAAAAAATACGTGTACACGTGTCCGAGCTGTGAATCAAGTAAAATTCTACATTTAGACAGTGTTCTAAAATTGAGCTTCTCGCACATGCCACAATATTGCATCTGCCTTACATTTAAACCCCCGGTTTAAGTATTTTTTATGAGCATGGACATAGTATTCGATCAATCATCTTTTAACACGATATACACCGTTTCAACATCGACTTCACAACACGCACGATATTTCACGGACATAAATAAATGACCGCGACTCTGTGAGGCGCAGAACCTAGTTTGGCGACGCTCAAAAAGCCAGGCGAAAGAGATGATGGCGGGCACTTTAAGTGTCTCTTGAAGGTCCGTGCAAGAGTATTGCTGCAAAATGTGCAGCAGTGGGACGGTAGCGTTGCAGCCGGCAGGAGCTGTCACGGAGAAACGACGTTTGGCAATAACCGTCTTTTTTTTCTTAACGTGAGACTGATGAATAAATGTGTCACGTACAAATGTCCAAATCTGCTGTATTTACGGGCAGACTTCAATAATTCTACTGGAGTCAGAGGTAGCGTAAGGACCTGCACACGTTATGCGTTTGGATTGAAAGCTGCGGTCCTTAAAGCACCTTTGGGCAGTTGCAGCAAAACACATTTATTAAGTGCCCCCCCAAACATCTACTGCTATGAATGCCAAACTAAAGGAACCCCCCCCCCCCCAAATCCACTTAAGTTAAATTTTGACTTAAAACTTTCGTGACTGCAGGAATTCATAGTCTTGGTTCTTTCGGTAAAGTCACGTAAATAGAAAATAACAAGACCGCTTGTGTTGCGATCGAAACGTCGTGTGTTTTTTGCTTCTATTAAAACTATTTTTATTTATTTATTTTCTATTTTCTTTCTACGCGATTTTACCGAAAGAACCAAGAATATCCACTTAAGTTGTGTATGCAACCGGTCGCTGGAGCTGATGCACGTGTGACGATGAGCAGGTGGTCGTGAATTTGGAAGATGACGAGGGCAGACGATGATAAAACACCAATTCTTTAGTTCTTCCTCCTTCGGTGCCGCCTTTAAAAAAAACCCTCAAACATTCGCTGGCACGGGGACGCTGAGCAACGTCCGAGCAGTCAGCGCGGCATCTCTTCCCATCTCCGAGTACCACCCCATTCATCGGCGGCGTAGCGTTTGGTTGGCACGGCCCCATAGCCGGAGTTTGACTTCTATATGTGGGGGGGGTGTAGGAGTTCGCTTTGAATCCGGTTTGGGCGGGGTGTTGCTCCCCCGTGCCCCCCCCCCCCCGCAAACTCTGCCCATGCACGACCCCCTTTGTGTCTCTAGCCTCCCGACCACGTGCCGCTCTCACCTGGTTTTAAATACCGGTGATGTCGACTGATTCACTGGTGCGACTGGGGTTTCACGACCAGCAACACCCAGAGCAGGAATTCACGTGTTTTTGTGTTATTTACAGCGGCCACGGAGTCGAGACGAGGCTTGCACCGCAGTCCCGATCCGTGCCAGGTCTTTGCGCCCTCTCTTTGTCTCCAGCAGAAGCCCAACAGGGAGGGTCCTGGTCTGAAAGGAGGACACGGGACCCCGGACTGGTGGACACCCGGCCGAGCGGGGCCTCTCGTTCCTCCCAGAGGAGCCTTTGGTCGTCGTGGTGGTGATGGTGGTGTCAAACTGAAGAGAGCGAGACCCGTTGCGTCCAGGACGTGGGCCTGCGCGGGCGAGGACCGGTGGTCGAGGGTGTGGTGGTGGTGGTGGTTGGCAAGGTGGTGGTGGAGGTGGTGGTGGTGAAGGCGGAGGTGGTGGCTGGAGACGTGATGATGATGACGAGACACCTCGATCATTGGAACCACATCTAGTCCCACCACCATTACCAGATGCACCAACACCACCATCTGTACCTCCAATTATACAACCTCGAATTACGCCACTACCTCTTCCACCTGCACCATCACGACCACCTCTAATCACACCAGCATCGCCACTGCCTCTTCCAAATTCCCGACTACCACCCCCACCTCGAATGCCACCATCGCCACCTCTACCACAATCGACAACATCACCACAACCACCAGCAGCAACACGGACACCATCACGGCCATCGTCGCCATCGCCATCACCGTCGTCCTGGAACAGTCTCCTCTTCACGGACGCGACTCCACGAGGGGGAACTGGCAGCGGTGTCCCCTTCTCCGGGGTGAAGGCCCTGCCCCCGCTATTCCGGTCTCCCCTCGCAGTGGCCGAGTTTCTCGCCTTACCCGGGCTCGAACCAAGGTCTGTGGAGGTGAGCGCGTAGCTGAGAGCGAGCGAGAGCGCGTCTCGCGCGAAGCCACTCCGAGATGAAGACGAATTGACTCGGCTCTTGCTCGAGGGGGTCACCTCTTCCTCTCTACCACCACCTCCTCCTCCGTCACTATCAACGATGTCTTCATTGTCGCCGTTGTCATCATAGGAGAGCTTGCGAGGAGGGCGATGTCCTCGTGGGATTTGAGTCTCCCTCTTGTGTCTCATTTGGACCCCTTCTCTGTCTCCTCTTCCTTCCATTTCTCCCCCTCTTTCTTCCCCCTCTTCTTCTCGTCGTCTCCTCTCGTCCTTGCGAGTCGCCTTGGCACGAATTTTGCTCTCCACGGCGAAAGCCAGGGCCAGTGCGAGGGCGTCTCGGGCCAGACCGGCTCGCGACGAGCTTTTCTTCTCACAGTCACCCTCGTCGCCACGGCCACGACCATCGTAGTCATCGTCATCATCATCATCTTCATCATTGCGACGCGATCTTCTCAGTCGTTCGGAAGTTCCAGCTCTTCGCGCACGCGTGCGGGAGAGTGTTCTCGGCGGTGTCTCATCTCCACTCCACTCAGCATCTTCATCATCATCATCAGCACCATCACCATCATCATCATCGTGAAATCGGCGCGTGCGCACCGCTCGACGGGCCGTGGCGGAGCGCGACTCTCGTCGATCGTCGCCTTGGCTCTTCCCGAGATCGACGTCCTTCCTGTTGCTCCTCCTCCTGCTCGCGTTCTTGTCATCGCCATCGACACCGTGGCGGTCATCATCATCACCACCGCCGTCGTCGTCGTCGCCGCCTCCTCGGTGCTTGGTGTCCACGAGGCACAGCACGCAGGAGAGGAGCGCGGAGCGCGCGGCCCCCCCGCTGCCGCAGAGCGCGCGCGCCGCACCCGCCGCGCGCGA